CGTCACCAACGACAATAAGTGAACAGCCACTTGCCAGGCCAGTGGGCCTCAGCTTTTATCTCAAAAATACCTAGGATGATCCTAAGACCCCCATCAGTGGGAATCTCCAAGTTGAATCATCAGCATGTGTAGGAAATTGCAGTTTAAAATGGCAAGTAGACAAAGTTAGAAGAGGGTCACAGGTATCAAGGTACTGACTAGCTTGTAAATTAATAGAAGTGGGAAAAAGACAATGAGATTAGGGTAAAGGGGTAAAGAAATGCCATCTTGGAAAAGGGGATAGAACAAAGATTGTTACAGGAAACCTCTTCTACTTGCCCCAGTGAGCCTCCAGGATGTATGCTAAGCTTCTTCCAACACAAACCTCATCCCAGAAAGTTGAGTTTAGTGTTCTAGCTAAAGCCTCACAGCTGAGGCAGCATAAAAGGTCAAATGGTTACATTAATTCTGGGTATGGGTGCTGCATACCCACGTGTCCAAGCAGAAGGAAGGGAGAGTTACTAACAGCTAATTCCTGTAAAGTATAGAGAATTATTGCTGTTTTTCTTAAAGTAATGATGTACCCTAGGAGGTGGCAATCGTCTATCACAAAAAGGATACTTTTTGATCACCAAAAGGATACTTCCCTTAAAAGCCAGGGAGGTTACCTGGCTGATAAAACTGCTAAACAGGCAGCCTTGAACAATGGAGCTGAAGAACTATTGCCCCAGAGCTCCCTGACCTGGCCCAATGCACTGAAAAACTCAGTGGTTAGTATCTCTAAAATTACTGTGGGCATTTTTGCCATTTCTTTCTGGGCAATATCACCAGGAACAGTATAATCAGAAGTCATTGTAGCTGGTTTATTTCCACTTTGGTCAAGCCCAAAAACTGAAGAGGAATATTTTTAGAATTGGTTTCTTTCAAAACATCACTGAAAAGTGGCTTAAGGAGACCTTAATTGTTGGGGTCATTTGAGGAAGCTGATATAATATACTCTCCTAGAGAGAAACCAGTTTTAACTCAGGACAGACTTAAATCCTATTAAACAGATAAAGCACTTTACAATGACAAGATTTTGCAATGAGAGCCTTCATTGTGATCTCCTCAAAGTGTACAAAGGTACAATGCACAAGTCAAGAACCAACTCTTTGTGTGAATACGGACAGTTCTTGGTGATTTGGATCTGGAAGTACATCAACCTGAAGATAGCCTGACACTCGGGCAGCTGTAGGGAGATTTGTGCTGATGGATTATTAGTAGTCCCGGGGCCAGACCCAAATACCATGAAGTTGCCCTACTCAGTCTTGTCTGCTCCCTTTCTTGTTCAGCCCAGTAAGTAATAATCCTACTCCTCCTGATTCTTTTGACTATATTTCTAAATGCCCTAACAGTGTGTATCTTCCACACTTCAACAATTTCATGCCAACCTGACAATATAGCAAGGTTTCCAGTCATTACACCTGAGAGAGAGCTGGGTCCTGAAAGAAATTTAGAACAATCACTCAGAGACTTTCATACTTCTAGGGAACCCTAGGGACAATGACCCTAAAGAGACCTTGCCTGTGATTCCTTCAGATTGAGGAGAATAAAGTATCTGAGGCAGAAATGAGACAGATTGTAGGGACTCATCTCTCACTGGGCAGGAGTTAAATATTTTTAGAATACTGTTAAGTACTGTTAAAGTGCTCTTACTAATAAGCCTTTGTTGTAAGTACCTTTTTGAAGCATATTTGTCCTATAAATGTACTGAAATATTGGGAGCGGGGGACTTAACTCCTTAATTCATAGCTGTCAGAGCCTTTCCTGTGATCCTGGAACCCTTGCTGCCTTGAGAAAAGGACTGCCAGTCAGGCAGCTAGACTGCCCTCATGCCAGCACTGGTCACTTTGAATTTAAAACACAACCACAGTTCCTGAAGGCACTACCCCAGCAAACATCGTGTACCAGCGATTTTTGTTTTTGTTTTTTCCAGTGAAACTGGAGTTTGAACTAGGACTTTGTGCTTGCAAAACAGTCATTCTACCTCTTGAACCACACCTCCAGTACATTTTGTTCTGCTTATTTTGGAGATGGGGTCTCACAAACTATTTGCTCAGGCTGGCCTCAAACTCAGTCCTCCTGACCTCAGTCCCCAAGGAGCTAGGATTATAGGTGTGAGCCCCTGGACCCAGCTTGCACCAGCCTTTTTGCCACCATAAGCATCTGTGAACTCTAGATAATCCTGGAGCCATTTCCACCCAGGGCAGAAGGGGGAATACTTCCTGGTGGCCCAGGAAACCTGTGCCTGGTGCAAACCCAGTCCTTCATTTGGATGAGGGACTGCCATGATTGGTGTAGACACTCTTGTCACAACTCCTTCTGGATATATAAGCAGACTGCTTAGCTCACTTTGTGAACTGCTGGGAGACAGCCTTCTGCACTGACCCCTGGCACTGAGGCAGAAGGTAGAATAAAGGCTTTTCTTGAGAGATCTGCCTTGCCTACTTTGGTTCTTATCATTAGTAGAGTGGCTGAGGGGGTAACATGAACAGAAGAGCAGCAGTGAGAATGGCAGTGCAGTGAGAGCGGCAGTGAGCCAGCAAGAGGTTCTCATAGTAGTGGGGGCCATGGGCAGGAGTGGCATTGGCCAGCTAGAACCACACAGAAAGTGAAACTGACATGGGCTAATCAGAAGTGGCAGACTGATGTCTCCCACCATGGAGATGCCTGGAGGTACGAAAGAGCTGTAATACTTTGGCGCTCTGCCCAACACCTGATGCCCAGATCCCCACTTCTGCAGCTTGCAAATGCTCACTGAGGGCCTGGGATAACTGAAGGAGTTTCTCACCTACCCATGATTTCATCTGGTTTGAACAGATAGCTCTAAAACAGTTATTTTGTGACACAGACTACGGACTTCTTATAACCTCACATGGTAGAAAGACAATGAGGGAGCTCTCTGGGGTCTCTTATAAATGACCTAATCACATTTGTGACAGCTGTAAGCCTTATGACCCCACTTCTTAATGTCATCACATCCTAATGGCCCCACTTCTTAATGTCATCACATTGTGGGTTAGGATTGCAACATGAATTTTTCTTTGGGAGGGGATCCAAACATTCAGTCCATTGCACACAGGAAAATGTAATGGGAGCATTTTGATTCCTTCAAGTGTTTGAAAGAAAGATCATGGACACAGAGACCACATACTCTTAAAACAAATCCCTCTTGTTAATTGAGCTAACTACTAGAACTAGATTTCTATAACTGGCAACACAAGACTCCAACTAAGCACATACAATTGTGTGGAATGTATCTGCACACATTGTGGCAGGGTCATTCCAGAAGAGGTTGGGGGTGGAGGGATGAGGGCACCAGTTGGGGCAGCTGTTCTATGGGAGAGTTTTGGTTTGGATCTTAAATGTCCCCCATAGGCCCATATACTAAAGGCTTGGCCCCAGCCTGCTGTGCTGTGAGGAGGTAGTGGAACTGTTAAGAGGTGGTACCTGAGATCAGGATGGAAGGAAGGAAGTGGTCGTTCGTTGGAGGCATCCCCTGAAGGGGATGTTGGGATCTCAAGCCTCTTCCTCTCACTTTTTATTTCTCATCTGCCATGAAGTGCATAGTTTCCTCAGCCATGTGTTCCTACCTTAATGTTCTCACCACAGGCCCAGAGGCAACAGGGCCAAGTAACCATGGACTGAAACCTCTGAAAACATGAGCCAAAATAAATCTTTCCTCCTTATAAGTTGATTATTTCAGGTGAAATTTTGTCACAGTGATGGAAAGTTGAGTAACAACAAGACCACATTGGCTGTAGGATGAGAGATGGTGGAAAAAGCCAGGCCAGGCCAAGTCTGTGAAAGTAACTGTGTGTGTATGTGTGTGTGTGTAACTTCAGAGAGACAGATGGTGGAGAAAAAGGAGAGGCTTCAGCTTGGCTCCTTATCAGAGCTAGTGAGCAAGGTGACACAAGTCAAAGGGTGAGTGCACACAGGGCTCTTACAAAAAAATATGTGAGAGAGAGTGAGAGGACCAAAGAAAGGGCTTGAGGCAGAAGAATGGGAAAGGTTCCAGAAATACACTCTTCAGGTGTAGTGCAGAGCATGTAGTTAAGTATTCAGTAAAGGCTGGCTACTTAGTGGCTTTTGATTTTCCTCTGATCTTGGCTTTTCTATCACAGCCCAAGCCAGGTCTGTCTCCTCCTTTTTCAAACATTTCATTTTTGGGGTTTCCTCTTGGCTAACCCCTATTGACTTTTCTGGGAGTCCTTCTCTGTGTTTTCTGAGTGAACCTATTCCAGAACATCATGAGTAGCTGTAACTTGGCTTGTTTTGGATTCCATGGGGATATGGCTTATTAAGAGTTTTGAAGAGGGCTTTTCATGACCATGTGCAGAATAACAGCAGAAGTCTGCCTTGCTGAATTTTTCTCTCAAAAAGCAGGCCATGGGCATTTCTGAGACTTAAGGAGACAGGATCCAAGGATTGGAAGCACTGTTTCCTCAGGTTCTCACCTGAGCCCTGTAAAGTCATACACCTTAACATCTGCTCTGGAACAGGGAGTAATACCTCTGCCCTTATCAATCGTGTTATCCACACATCTCAGGCACACGCTGGTTGGGTTGTCTTTGCAATGATTTCCGTCCCAGCTCAATCAGTTTTCAGCTTAGAAAACTGAGAAACCTCCATATGCAGTGCAGAGCCTCATCCTCACCCACCTCGCCTCCTGCTCCTGGCACCTGGTTTCCTGAAAATGCTCTCACACCATACCCTGACAGGCAGTGCTCTAATTTGTTTCCTTAGTGTCACAGGGATCATTCACTTCTCTGGGAACTCACTGAATTAGGAAGTTTTGTCACAGTTGAATGCACCTTGGTCCCCTGCGGGCTAACAAGTAGTGTCTGCCGACACCTCCCTCCCAGACCCGCCCTCTGTGTTGAGTCAGAGTTAAGAAGTTAATCTTCCTCTCTTAAAGCAGTCACCTCTTCTCCTGTCCTGCTTCCTCAGGGGAAGCCAGAAGAAGACCCCACATTGCCATGAGCTCTGCCATCACCAGCTGTGAGTTCTCCACCTGCCTGGTGAGTGCTGGTGGGAGCAGGGAGCAGGTAGGAGGCTGGGGGAGGCCCCATTCTTTTAGATTAGGTTCAGAGTCTCATCCAGGAATGGTAGCTCCTTTCCTACCTCCAACCTTCGCTCCCTGGGAACCTGGTAGCACAGGTCACCACCACCCCAGATATTTCCTGAGCCCTGAACTGTGACTAATACAAAGGAACAGGGAAGAGGTGGATGGCTGGGTTTCCTGACAATAAAAGCAGTCCACCTGATTTGCTTTGCCTCTACTTACTGGTGGTCTCTGTAGAGAAACATCTAAATGTTGCTTTCCAGGTTCCCCAGCCTTAGGCTTTCTTTTCAGAAGCCTTCTCTGAATCTGAGTAAAAGGAAAGGGAGGAGAGCAAGATAGAGAGCAAAGTAAATTTTCTAGACAGCCAGGATGGCTTAGACTCTATGTGTGCTCTGTTTGCTTCCTTAAAAATCCAGTGCGACAGGCACTTCTGTTTCTACTTTTCAGGCAATGAATCTGAGGCCCAGAGAAATCAAGCCACAGTAACCCACCTGGAGGGCTCTCCATCTAGCCCCTGAGCCTTGCCCTACCACCTTTCCAACCTATTTTGGTCACCTAAAAATAACAGAGAGTAATGAGTGGAGATCCTCTGTTCTTGCCTCTGCCCTCTGCAGTGGTAAAGGGACCTCTCTCCATCAGGCCAGAGCTACAGCACTAACCAGGTCCAGGTTTCTGGGGACAGGGGACACCCAGAAATCTGGACTAGGCTCTTGGACTCTTCTCTACAGCCGCTACTGGGCTCTGCCTACTCTGCTCAGCCTCTTGGCAGAGTGCCAAGTAGTCACCTCTGAGAAACTGAGGGATCCTGAGAGAAAACCTCTTACCTGTCTTTACCTGAGGATTCTTTCTGCCACATCTCTCGAAGGAAAAAAATAAATGGGGGAAATAAGTTGAAGGCTCCATTTCCTGAGGACTTGTGGTGTTTCCCAGATTTAGGGCTTTCATGAGGCAAACTGGAGAATGGGGGTCTGGGCACTTAGGCCTCTCCTTTTCAGTGGGGATTGAGCAGGGGGCCCAGGGCAAGCAAGAGTGCTGAGGCAGGTTCATTGAGGCCATGTGTGGAGGAAGCTGGACAGCCACAATGGTGAGTGCCAGGTGAACAGGAGTGTTAGGAAATGATCCAGGCAGATAGCTGTGTGGAAAACAGATGTTGTAAAAGGGGCGACCTTCTCCCCAGGATCACTGCTGCACTTGCTGTATGCCTCCTTCTACTCCGCTTGTCTGTTCCTGGGAAATGGAGGCCTTTCCCTGTATGCACAGGGCCTCAGTTGCAGGCAACTGCACTGGACATCCTGTGACTTCCTGGAGTCTCTGTCCCTTCGTCTGTCAATGGAGGACAATAAGATGATGGTGAGCCCCAAACAAGAAGATGCACTGGAAACTCTTTGCAAACTGTAAAGTCCTAAGAAATCCCAAGCATCATCCAAACCCCTCTTTGGATCAAGTCTCCTGTTGAATCACATATTGAGTTGAGAGACTTACCTCCAAGCAGAAAAGTAGGGCTCCTCTTCTCTCACAGTTGCTCATTGTCAGGCTGCTTCACGAAGAATTCATTCTTCCTCCAGGAGGGACTCACAGCTTTTTCTGCTGCAGTAGGAGTCACATGCACAGCTTCTCCCAGGAAGGGGTTCTCCTGGGATTCTCCCCAGGTTCTGACATCACCTGCCATGGGGTATATCTCCAACCTCATCTGAGAAGCTTTTCTGTCCACTCTCTTCTGCAGGCACTTCTCTGACTTTCCAACCCAGAACCAATCACTCAAACAGTGTCTCTCACTCATGTTGTCTCTCTCTCTTCCCCACCACCCTGCTCCTCTTTTCTGTTTTATTTTTTTTCCTCTGCTATCCCTCACAGATTCTTCCATACACTTACTATAACCTTGTGAGAAATGTCCAGAAGCTTAGCAGTCTCTCCAGCAGCTTCCAGTCTTGTCTTTGGCCCAGCTTTGACCCCTTTAGGAAGAATGCACTTCTTTCATGTGTGACCCAAGGACTGATTAATATCAATACATCTTCTTTCCAGAAGTAAGGATAGGTGGGATGGTTCAAAAGAGTTTCAATCGATTAAAAGTAGGGATTTGGTTTTTTTTTTAAAAGAATTAGAAGACTTCTCCATAGTCACTCATTGATTCATTAATTCATTCATTTCATTGGCTCAATGAGCAACCGACTACGTGCTAGGGATGGAGATGGAGAAGTGATGGGACTTCAGGGTCTTTGTGATAAGGAAACAGTTGATGACAGTCTGGGTGTCTTTAGCTGTGCTAAATACACTCTTGGGTTATAGGAGTGCCTAGATAGGGGAGACCTTGTTTAGTCTGAGCTGGAGGGGCATGGTGAGGTCAGGGAAGGCTTCCTGAAGCAGCCAAGTGATCACTAAATAGATGAGCTGAGACAAAATTCTTTCATTTATGTTTTAGGACCTAATGTTAATGAGCAAATGCTGTTTTGTATGAGAATAAAATGGTTCTGCAGAGCTGTGCTGAGGCTGGCTCACTAGACCTCATATTGGCAAACTTGGACCTCAGCCTTGGTTCAGGGCTCCCATGATGTGCCACAATGGGCTTTTTCCATTACCAGTGACTGGAGACTTACAACCATGAACCAGGATGAGTGCTTGTCAGTATTCAACATGTCCCTGGAAGAGAAGGACTGGCTTCCTATACCTCCACACAGGACATGGGGCCTGCGCCATCACCTTCAGCAAGCACTGCAATTGAGTTAGAGTTTCTTTGGAGAATGAATTAATGCTCTTACAACAGAGGTTCCTAGCTGGGGGTGATTTGGCCCTCAGGGGTCATTTGGCAGTGGCTGGAAACATTTTTGGTTATCGCAGTTAAGAGGCAGGAAGTGGATACTACCGGCGTCTAGTGTGCAGAGAGGCCAGGAATGCTACCAAACATAACAGTACACACAACAGCTACCACCCGCCCTGTCACACGCAGAGCCCCTTTTCATCACTACTCTTGTGCTTAGGGACCATTATTAAGTAAATAAGGGTTACTTGACCTCAAGTCCTGTGATTCTAAGATAGTTGATCTGAGAAGTGGGATAGTCACTAGTGCCTATCAGGAGGGTAGCATATATAGCACGGATATGCTGGATGAAGGGATAATTCCCTTTTAAGGCAGAGTGGAGTGGCAGTATGAGATTTTTATCACATGCCTTAGAATGGCACGCAATTTAAAACTTATGAATATTTTTATTGTTTATTTATGCAATTTTCCATTTGATATTTTCAGGCTATGGGTGACCTTAGATAATTGAAACCTTGGAAAAGGAGATCTTGGGTAAGGAGGGGGGGCTACTGTATAATGTTCCCCAGGGGTAGTGCTGGCCTAGAGTAGAACAACCCAGTTTTTGATCCGGTGACTTTCTTTCCTCTTTCTACATCTAAGCAGGTGATGACTACTATCCCATCTCCTCCTTCTCCAGAGGGAAACCACTGATTGATTAATTAGCATAGGCACAGTACCTGTGTCTTTAGTACTTTTAAAGGCCCATGAGGGTGTTTTCATTTCTTTTAAAAATAGGTGGAAAGGGCTGGGAATCTAACTCTATAGCAGAGCACTTACCTAGCATATGTGAGGCTTGGTTATGGGTGTGATGCCCAGCATTGCAAAATAAATAAATAAAATAAAATGAGAAAAAAATATACTTTAAGGAAAAAGGAAATGTTTTAACATGTTAATACATTCATCTTTATACTAATTAGCACAGAAATATATTTTTGGATATTTTTTTCCTGTGATGGAAGGAGCCCATAAAGTCAAAGTGTTTGATACTTGCTCGTGAGTGTCGTAGATGTGGCCCTGGTCCTGAAGCTGTTCTGTGAGGCGGGAATATGAGATACTTAAGCATGGAGGTGGGTGTGGGAGTGGATAGCCAAGAGCCTTTCAAGAGCTGTCTCCCTGCCATCTTCCTACTCTAGGGCAGCCCTGGCTGTGCCACTGTACAGAACCTGCCCTCTGTAGTCTGGCTGGGCCCACAACCCCCCCCTGGGTCCCACACTATGATTTTCATGCTAGTGTTTGCCACCTTCTGGTCACACCAGAGACAACGCTTTCATGTTCCTCTTACCTACAACCAGGCTCAAATGTCGGCCCTGGCATAGGCCAGAGTTCTTTTATGGAGGTCCAGTAATTTTAACAGTTAATATGTATTGGGCAATTAGACCACGCCATGCCCTGGACTTTTCCTTTCATACTGCAATCAATTTTCTCAACTATGTGGGTGGTGCTATCTCTTTTATACAGATAAGAAATAATAATTTGTTCAAGGTTAGTAAGTTAAGAAGCTGGAGTGAAAGTCTATAATTTCAAATTAATCTGTGTTAACTTGTTAGGGATACAAGCTAGCTATTGACTCTAGACCATTCTGTAGGCACTGCACTCATTTACATTGATATGCTACAGTCATTCATCTAGTCTACATTGAGCACACTAGGAGCCAGCATGACAAAGCAAAGAAAGGCACATTTGATGCATCCTGGGAGTTAAAAACGAGGAAAAGAAATGAAGAAGGGACCCATCCATTAGTGTAGACATGTCATGAGGACGGCTTTGCCAGATGTAAGCACAGCTCTCCCCCGCCACCCCTCAGAAGCACATGCAAAGGATTATGAGAGAAACCCAACTATTTTCTGACCTATGCATCTTCTCCCCACAAGCCTCTCTCTCTGCCGTAGCTTTGGGTAAGACACGATCCCCCCTTCCATAGCCCCAGACTTCATAGGCAAGAGGCCCAGATGCAAACATACAGCACAGGAAATCACTGGTCTTTTGTGTCTGGACCTTCAGTCCTCAGCTGGCTGACAGTTATCCCTGTTCCACAGCCTCTTGCCTCAGGAAGGCTAGCCTACTACCCACCTGAAGTCAGGAAGTAGACTTGACTCCTCTTAGGTGCCCAGATGTGTACTTCTCTTGTTCCCAGCAGAGGGATGATGGTGTGTTCAATTCCCACCCTGTTGACCAAGGCAAGAGGAATGATGGGCAGCCTGAGAGTCCCAGCAGCAGCCGACTGGCCTATGACATCTTGGACATCCCACCATGGTATCTCTGCATCTTCTTGGGGATTCAGGTAATGCTCCCCAACAAGCACTGGTTCCAAAGAGGCTCTGCTTCAAAAGTCAAAGATCAAATTAGTCAAAATCAACTTCAGTTGCTGATGTAGCATCCTGTTGAACTCTAGAGGAACCCAAGATCCTTCAGTTTCTTTCTTTCTAGGTATTTGGGGATGGAGATATATTTTTAGAAAAGAATTCCCCCTCATGCTATACTGACTGGTCATATCAAGGACACTGACTGGTCTGCTGTTCATTCTCTCTCTCTATCTCTCCTCTCTCTCTCTCTCTCTCTGTCTTCCCCCCCCTCCACCCCGCACCTAGAGATTTAACCCAGGACTTCATGCTTTAATTTTCTTTTTGAGATAGGGTGTTGCTAACTTTGCCCAGGCTGGCATGGAACTCACAATCCTTCTGCTTCTGCCTCCTGCTTGGATTACAGTTGTGCACCACCACACCTGGCTCCACTGTTTTCTTGGGTGGGGTCACGCTTGGTTACAGGTCCACTGGATAAGCCCCTAGAAAGCCAGAAGGTACTAGGCTAAGTAACTTCCTTGGGGCAAGCCTTGCCAATAGAAGTTTCCCTTTTGAATTTAGTTTCCTCCAAATGCCTCCTGTTCTGTAAGATCAAGAGGTTCATTTGATAACAGGAGGGCATTAGTCCTGATTAAGTTTGGTAAGCCAATGTTTCTGGGCAACAGAAGAAATAGGAAGTAATACACTGGGGGATTCTTGTCCTAGGAATATTGTGGCCTGAATTGACCTAGCAGGTGAGTCAAAAAAGCTCTTATAAGAGGCTATGAAGGACTGAACTCATGCCATTTATCTCAAGGGGCTAAAGAAGCAATGGTAAGATTATCAAAGTACCCACAAATTCATAGGCATTTCTTCTCTAAAAACCCTCCTATGTCTTCCTTCTTAAGGGGGCAACCAACCCCCGTTGACCGTCATTTGTCTATTGTAACTGTCAAAAGAACAAAGTGGGGGACTTTGTCTTTTGTTAGAGTTCAGTCTTCCTTGCCTCCAGCACACATCTCATTCCCCTACTCTTCTGTCAAAGAGCAGTGCTTATAACATTGGTTGAATTATCCCAGAACACTCACTGCAGGGATTAACCTCAGTGGATAATCCACTGGTTGACTGGTCCCTTTGAAACCTGGCTCCATGTGATGACAGGAAATGGAACTGCCTCTTAAAGAAGATCCTGTTCTTTATTTCACTTCCAATTTCCTTCTTCCACTATTTCACCTGTATGGCTGGAGAGACATAGGGCTCTCTATCCCCAGGGGTGCTGGCCCAGGGTTTTCCTGGGGGCCCTGGCCTTACCTACCTTATGCAGTGGGACATGCTTCTTAAACATTTTCTCTCACTCTCTTCCCTGGATGGGGCCTGAAAAGGTAGGCCTGTGCCATATATGGATATTTTTTGGTTTAATTTTCTTAAGAAAATTAGACCTTTCCTTTGGTCCAATTTAGCTCACTTTTGAAGTTTGGAATCAAAGTCCCAAAGAAATAAGAACATAATTTGCCTTACTTTATTTGTAGGTCTCACTCAGAGTTGTGGGGAAGAGGAGTGGTTGGGACAAGGCAGGATCAGTATTCTGGATCTTGCAGCCAAATTCTACCATAATGGCACCTTAATGGCAACTCTTCATGGCACTGGCCCTCTCCTTCCCTTCCTCGTTACCTCCCTCTCTCGCTCGTTCTTCCTCCTACTCTCCCTCCCTTCCATTTTTTACTGTCTCGACTGGCTCAGAAGCTAACTTTTTCAAACCAAGGCAAACCAAGTCTGCCTATTCTGGCTTGATTTATGCCATGTTCTTGTGGGGTGAGGTGTAGGCCTATACTACTGTGTAAATGTAGTACATTTGCTCCTCTGATTGGCAGCAAATCAGAGGAACTTTATTAGCACCAGGTACACAAAGCAATGTGGACATGCCAGTGAGACATGACAAGTTATCAGAGAACAGGTTGTATTGGAGCAAAGAAGAGAGCAAGTGGCACAGACTAGCAGGCTGGGATGCATTTGCTCCACCCAGATAGAAATTGTGGGTAGGTGAGGAGAAACTCCTTCATATATTCCTGGCCCTTTGCAGGTATTTGCAAGCTGTGGATAATCATGGGCAGTGGCAGTGGACCTTGGGACTTTGACAGCTAGGGCAGCAGCCACAACTAGGGTGTCATGCTGAAGCCCTTGACAACTAGGGCAGAGGCACGGGGTTCCAGGTTAGGCCTGAAGTGCTACAGCTCTTTCCTGGCTTGGCAGGTATATAGGAGGGAGTGACACTGATCTGCCATTGTCAGTATTACTTTCACTGCTGCCCACTGATGTCCGTTTCACTTTCCCTGCTGTTGGCCTTGTCATCACCTTTGGCCAGGTGCTGCTGCTACCTTGGGAGCCACTTGCCGGTTGCTGCTGCTCTGCTGCAAGGGCGAGACCCCAGCTGATATTCATCCTGCCTCCATCATTCATTCTCTTCTTCTTTTCTTCACGTTACCAGCTTAGCTGCTCTAGTTGGTGATCGATATAGGCAAGAAACACCCAAGGGAAGTTTTTATTGGACCTTCTGCTGCAACACGAAGGGGCAGCCCAGGGGGAGTCTCCCAGCTATTCACAAAGTGAGCTAAGCAAGCAGCTTACATAGCCAGAAAGGGCTGTGACAAGGGTATCTGCACTAATCATGGCAGTCCCCTCATGCAAATGAAGAGTTGTGTTTGTACCAACCATTGCAGTCCCCACATACAAATAAGGACTGTGTTTGCACCAGTCACAATTCTTCTGCTGGGCCACCAGGGGAGGGAAGTGCTCCCCCTTTAGCCTGGGTAGAAGTGACTGCTGTGGTGGCAAAATCTTGTGTAAGCTGTTTGCTGGGGCAGTGCCTTCAGAAGCGGGTCATGCTTTGAGTTCAAAGCAGTGCCTGTGAGCGGTCCAGCTGTTTTGCCAGCAGTCCTTTGCTCTAGGCAGCCAGGGCTCCAGGAATGGGTGTAATAGCTGTCAATTAAAAGAGTCAGTCCTCCTCAGCCCCCAGCATTTAAGCACATTTAAGAGAAAAATAAAAGGTGCTTACAACAAAGGCTCATCAGGAAGAGTGCTTTAACAGTGCTCTAACAATGCTTAACCCCTGCCCCAGTGCTCCAGGGAGACACCTACCATCAGGTGGTTCCTACCATCTGTTTCAGCTCCAAGTGTTTTTATTCTCAGGATGCTTGGCTCAGAACAGAACTGGCCACGGCCCATGAATGTTCTCTTAGACCTTCCTGCTTTGGGTCAGAATGTATGAGATAGCAACCCTATCTATCTATCATCTATCTCCTATATTTAATTGATCCCCTTTGTAGCTGCTATGAATTCTACCCTGCCCTGAACTCTGCGTCTACTCTGTCCTCTCAGTGGGAGTTCAACCAGCCTTTGGCCAACAGATCTAAACTCACTCTTAGATCTTCCTTGTCAATGGCTGTTCTCATTATATGTTTTGTTTAATGATGAGTCTCTTGTTTGTTTTTGTTCTTGTTCTTAAGGCCCACCTTGGGTCTGCTAAGCCTCTTGTATTTGTGTCCCTGCCTTGGTTTCTTCCTCACAATGTCAGTTCCCAGCTGCCCCTGTAGCCCAGTCCCTTGATTCTGACCTCCAGGGCTTCCTAAGTGCGCACCATTTGCCTGGATCTTTGCCTGTCCTGGGATCAGTTGCCTCTGGCCATAGGAGAGCATCCCTGTTGAGGTTTGGGCTGCATTCTTGTCTTGGGAGATGCTGGTGTAGCAGCAGTCACAGTATCTACCTGTCCATCTTCTCCTGCTCTCTGCCCACAGCACTTCCTCACGGCCCTAGGGGGCCTCGTGTCTGTGCCACTCATCCTGGCCAAGGACCTGTGCCTGCAGCATGACCACCTGACCCAGAGCTACCTCATCAGTACCATCTTCTTCACCTCTGGCATCTGTACTCTCCTGCAAGTGTTTTTAGGGGTCAGGTAGGTAAAACTGTTCCTGTGGTTCTGATTTTTCCCTGCTTGACCTAAATTTGCAGAGATAGTTAGGAAGGTAGGGTGGCATAAGAGGGGGTGCAGAGTGAGGAGCCAGAGCCGAGGTTCAAGTTCTAGCCCCAACTTGTGTGATCTATGTTAGCCAGGATACTTGACTAGCATAGTTTAGTTTAGCCAGATTAGCTTAGGGAAAAATGTGTTCTTTATTAATTTATAAGATAAAACCAAGAGACCACTAAGATTTGAGGGCAGAAGAAGATGGATGTCCCAAGAAGAGAGAGAGGGAAAACTTGCTCTTCCTTTGACTTTTTGTGTCTTTAATGGATAAGCTGATGCCCACCCACACCGGTGACGAAATCTTTACTCAGAAATCTTTACTCAATCTACTGATTCAAATACCAGTCTCTTCTGGAAACACTCTCACAGACACACCCAATAGTGGTTTACTAGCTTTCTGGGCATCCCTTATCCCAGTCAAGTTGACATAAATTAATAGCAGTCCTGTCTATAACATGACTGTAGACAGGGCTGCTGGACATCCAAATACTATCTAAAAGCAATTGAGTACTGCTCTGGCTCGTCTCATATTTTAAAGTTCCAAGGAGGAACTCTGATTGGCTCATCTTAAGGTAAATGCTTAGCCCCTGAACCAGCCAGGACAACAAATATGGTAACAGGTGTCCTGGAAGGGCTCCCAGTGAAGTGGGAAATGAGGAATTCTGCTCTGGGTAGACATTCATGGATCCAGATACATGGTTACTATAAACTGTGAAATAAAGCCATGACTGTATGTGGACCTGCTCCCTTACACTATCATTAAGATGATCAGTTGCTGCCAGAAGTGGATCACTAGTTTTTTCAAACCAAAGTCTTTTTTGTGCATCTGTGGGTTGCTAAAATCAGTCTGGGTAAGCTGGAGTACTTTAACTCTGGGGATGACCTGGGTAAAATTGTGAAGCTTGGAAGATGTGTCTTTTACATTTTCCCTTCCTCATTTCCACACCTCTTTTCTTTACATTCCTTACCACCAGGCTCTCCCCACTTCATTGGGTTACCATCAAATGGCTACTTTGGGTTACCACCTTCTCAGGGAATTCCCCTTTGTGGATCCTCTTGACCTTTCCTATTTACCTCCCTCACACCAAACCTGTCACACCAAACAGTAAAGGCCTCCTGCCTTTACTGTTATTTAGCATCCAATTCAAGTACAGAGCCATGTTTTGTGTAGTTTGGAGCTTAGAAAAGAACAGAAAATTATGCATACAAAATCATGTGCAAAGGAGAATATTTACTTTGATAGAGAAAAAATAGTCACAACAAATTACTAAACTCAAAAAGCAGATAAAGGCCACAAATGCCCTAATTAAATATGCAAAGAAAGAAGGAAATAAAATTAGGGAATACCATACTGATATCCTTAGACTAACGTGGAAGTAGAATTAAATTCGAGTTTGGGACCACCCATGGAAATGGACTTCTGTCTTAGATCCTAGTAATAGTCTGGGATGGTCCTGGTTATGAAATCTAGCTTATGAATCAAAAGTTAAGGCAATTTGGTTATCTGCTAACAAGTATTTTTCTTCTTTTAAAAATTAACATATGTTAATTATACAGTTTCTATGCATACATACTTGATCAAATTTACCCCCTCTATTATTTTTTTATTCTCCCTCTCCTCTTTTTAAACAATTTTTAACAATTTCATTACTTTATTTTCATATTATATATGAAGTACTTTGATCATACTCACTCCCCTTCACCCTCTCATTTCACCTTCCCCCTTCCTGATAGCTCCCACACAAGCAGTCCCTCCATTTTACACTCATGTCATTCTTTTTTTTTTTTTTTTTTTTGAGGTCTAGATTCCACATATGAGAGAGGGAACACATGATATTTGTCTTTCTGAGGTCTTGTTTATTTCACTTAACACGATGATTTCCAGTTCCATTCATTTTCCTGCAAGTGATATAATTTCATTCAATCTTCTTCCTCCTCTCCATCCTTCCCCTCTCCTCCCTCCTCCTTCTCTTGTTCTCTTCCTTTTCCTTCTCACCCTCCTCCGTCTCCTCCTCCTTCTTCTTTGTAGTAAAAATGACAGCAAAGTTTATTAAGAAAGGAATCACTTTCATTCTTCTTTATGGCTGAATAAACTCCACTGCATATAGCACATTTTCTTTATCCATTTGTCAGTTGATGGACACCTAGGCTGGTTCCATAGTTTGGCTATTGTGAAGAGTGCTGCTATAAGCCTGACTGCACAGGTATCTCTACTCCATGTAGATTTATATTCTTTCAGATATATGCCTAGGAGTGGTATATGCTAATGAGTATTTAATGACTTGCTTTTCTAGATGAGAAACACAAATGCTGATGTTGTAATAAGATTTCAGAAGACATTAACAATTTAAGCCAGCAATTTAAATAATGGCAAGGGAATACCAAAAGGCAAAAGTATTGGCTTTTGGTATAAAGATCCGACAAGGCCAGTCCAGGGTGGGTAGTTGCAATCCTTGTCCATCCATGATGCCTCCCTGGTATGACCTTAAAAGTCTCAGGTGTATCCCCTGATGATCTTCCTCACTTGGTGCTCAGTTCTGAAATCACCACTGATTTAAAAAATAAAGCATTAAGTTTAAAAGGCAATCACAAGAGGAAATAAACTATTACCTGTGTATAATTCCAGATTTTAAGTCCATCTCTGGAATTATTCATGGATTTGCCCCATAATTTCTAATTTTAGAGGGATTCCAGGTAATATCTCTCCCTTTTCATCATCCTCGGATTGTGTCAAATGTGTAGCAAACACTCCTGCTCTGAAATGGTTCAGAGGTCTCATGCTTACTTGCAAGTCCTTAGCCCTTTGATCCACCTTCTTCCCTTCTTTGTCCTAACTCTGCCTCTGTCCCTGGTTCTGCAGGAAGGCCATGACTGTCACCACTGGAGCTATGGCTGGAGCAGAGGTGGTACCAGAGTCAGGGGTAGAAGAGTGAGCTAGTGATTGGTCACATCAGAGGCAGAGAGGACAGGTGTGTCCCAAGAAGGGCAGATGGGTCTAAGCTGGGTAGTTATCTGCAGGGAAGATGTGCAGTAGGTTTTCCCACAATTCAGCCTGTCTTTACCTGCCTGAGGTAGCGAGCTCAGTAAAAAAATGAACCAAGTTCTGTGTGTCCAACAGTGAAGGAGTCAGGCCTCTTGTGGTGCCAAGAAAACTTGGCATTTCTCACTACAGAGTGGCCCTTCGAGTTCAAGAGTTACTCAGCCCTGTCCTGCATTCCTGCAGTGGCCTATTTCTACGAAAAGTCCCAGGACGTCGTCCTTTGCCCACTCACTGGCTTGGCTAAGGAGGGAGCATTAGGTGATGAAGCAGGTGGGGTTGGATTCTAGCTTCTGAAGCTCCAGATGCACATTCCCCAAATGGTGCCTTCTTCCCATTGCCCATGTGCTCCTCATCCCTACATTCTAACCACAAACCCCACAAGAGGCTTGCTTCCCTAGGGTCCTGGGCATTCCCATTTATTTTCTCTTGGAGACCTTGTGTTTCTGTGAGAAGGAACTGTTTGGTTTTTCCAAAGCCTTGAGAGTTGAATTAGGAAATGTAAATTAAATTAGATAAAGTGCCTGGCACATAACATTGATTTTGCACACCAAAATAAAAGCATAGTACTAGATAAATTATTTTGTTTTCTCTCTTCTTTTAAACTCTATACATATTTGGCAGTACAAGAGTTTGAACTCAGAAAAAAAAAAAGAGTTTGAACTCAGGACTTTGTGCTTGCTAGGCAAGTGCTCTACTTCTTGAGCCTGTACCCTCAACCCTTTTGGTTTGTTATTTAGGGTCTTGCATTATTTGCCCACAATCCTCCTATCTTCACTTCCTAAGTAGCAGAGATTACAGGTGTAATCACCACCGCTGTCTAAAATAAGTTAAAAAAAACTGCTTAATTGTGGTAAATGAAAATTTCCCCCCCCCCTTTTATATATGCAATGCATTATGAATGTCTTTCCAGGTCAATAGCACATTCCTGCACAGCCTTTAAAAAAACAGTTTTCACTTCTCAGCCTTTTGGCTAAGATCAAGTGCAGTATCTGTTCTCATCAGTTTAATATCTGATACGTCCTCTATCTAAGGACATTATATTAAATGAATTTTTGGAGCAGAGAGATGGAATAGGAGCTTGCTCTGTCCACTCCATGCATCAACCTGGTATTGTATACCTCTAGGAACAGTGGACCCCTCCTAAAAAAAAAAAAAAGCTGGTCACTTGGCATTCCTTTAGCAATTTCCTGCTTAAGTTGTTTCAAGTTCTCCATTAATTTTATGGTGACCAATCTCATGAGTGTGAGTGTTGTAAGCATTGGTTTATCTTAAAACAAGAAAAAGATTGAAGGTTATATCTAGGTGGTATCCATGATATATGAATGCTCTAGACTATTTATGTGCTTTTATAGGCTTATCTAACTACAGATCAAAACAAAAACACAAGGTTAATTATTTATGAGAGCATTTTATTTATTTGCCATTTACTTTAATTCAAAGTGCATGTGTTGTTTTATAACTGGGAAAAATAAGAACCATTTACAATGTGTTTTAGACATGCATAGTTGTGAGCTGCACCCTCTGAATCTATGCCTGGGGCAAAAGTCCAGTAACTGCTAGGTAGCGTCTTGGGAAGGGCTGGCTGCACTTTCTCAAGGCCCTCAACTGAGATAGTTTCTGAGATTCTGCCTCCTTATCTTTAGTTCCCACCCACTCCACTCCCACCCCTCCTGTTTCGCTGAGAGCCCATAGAAACAACAGGGTCAGGGGGAGCAGAACAGATGGGAGGATCAAAGCCTAATTCATTGCCAATGTATGTGTGTGGGGGAAAGGTACACTCAGGGTGGTAGGTAGTTTGATTATTTGAGACAAAGTCTCACTATGTGGACTAGGCTGGCCTTGAACTCACTATCCTCTTGCCTCAGCCTCCTGAAAGCTCGGATTACAGGTA